AAACCCAGGTTTGCCATCTGTAATCAGAAAATGTCACATATAGGCAAATCTCCTCAGATATGTGAAATATCTTAGGCATGAAAAGGACCTCAATCTATCAGTGCACAAAAGAGGTGCAACTGAAAGAACCAGCAGACAAGGCAACCAAGTCAAATTATGAATCAAAGTTTCAGAATTTTGTTCTGATGTTCAAAGACATTTGAAGAAATTTAAAGAAGCAAAAGTTTTACCATTATGCAACAAATCACAGGTCATTTGAAAAGGCACTAAGCTGCTCCTGGGTTGTTAAAAAGGCCTTACTACACTTTGAATCAAGTGTGCATCCACCAAAAAAAATGGAGCTAGAGGCAACCCAGAGCTGATTTATGGACTTGACATATACGTAGGCAGAGAGCTCTACCCTCAGCCATTTCCAGTACCTGCAGTCAGGATACAACTGCTAGTGTTCTAGAGTACAAATTCCGGGTTACACTATGCACATTACCCGGTACTCCACAAATTATTTAAACAGAAATTAAGAATCTGTATTAAAGAAATTATGAACCTATCTTTAACAATTTAAGGCCACAGTATAGAGAAGATGGAGCCAGAATCTTCTTGGGACTTGCACATTAAGAGGACAAATGGCAACAGACATAGGATACAGTATCTTTAAAGCCTCAGTACATATTAGTGAAAAAAATTCACAATGAGGGCAGCCAAATATGGGAACAGTGAGAAGAGCAGAGAATTTGTGCAATCTCCATTCTTGGAAATACTGAAAACTTAACTGGACAATTCTCCGAGCTACTGCTCAAAATTGGCCCTATTTTGAGTGAGAGGTATGATTAAGGCCTCCAGAGGTTCCTTTCCAATCTATGTCATTGTAAGAATCTGTAGAATAATCCCACTCTTTCCCAAATCCTGTTGTTTTCACAGATATCAAGGGGTCTGCTCATGTATGCTTTAGAGAATCAAGAACTGAGATGCGACTCTGCTTTTGCAGCCAAGCACTAATGAGTAAAGCACAAAGTATAAGAATTATTCTTTTTATCCTGATCCTTCACTAACAATGCATTATGATAAACAAAGGGTTATGGTTTTGTTTTTAATTATTTAAAGCAGAATACTGAGATAAACTAGCCTTAACTAGTGCCTTCATTCTGCTAAGCAAACATTAAGATGTACTGTTAGTTTTGAAGCTTGTCCACACTCCTTGTAAAAGCAGATCTCCTTAAGAGGCAGCATCTTGAAAATATACACAAATCTAAACGGAAGTTGAAAAGAATAATTCAGCTGCAGAAAGAGAACAACAACAAGGGAGGATTTAAAAATACATGATAAATGTATCACAAAAATCAAAAAGCATACATTGTAAATATCCACCACTCAGATTTTTCTTAAATTAAAAAATAGTAAATCTCTGCTAACTTAAACCATAGGCTTCTACGTTTCAAGCTGCAAAAGGTCCAGAGCTGACATTAGATATACTCTAACATTAAGTTAAAACTGAGAAATTATACCTTTCTCTTTGTCCTGGTTTGTGGACCATGACACTCTTTTTGGGAGAATGTCAGAGACCCTCATCCATTTGTGTTTCATTAAGCTTTCCCATCTTCTGCTATCAGAGTGAATAAATTAAAATGCATGTGATTCACGTCTGTATACACATATAACATATTACACATACAGTATATATATACTGCTCCTGATATTATATGTGCCAATATTAGCTCTCAAATTTAGGTTTCTTTTTTCCCACTTTAGAGTTACATTCAGATCTAATATGATTCCTCTCCTCTGTAGCTGTAATTCTTAAGAAAAGTGACAAAGCATATTTTATGGATAATGGCCTCGTATTATCAAACCGATTTATGAAAAGTAAACAAGAAACATTCCTAGCCCAGCAAGATTATCTTTAGCTGACATCAATGTGACTGCTAACAAGGTAAAACATAGACAGGAATTAGAATTTAGTATCTTGGTGAAAAAGGGCCTAGGCAAATGAATGAGCCTGCTTACAACTGCACTTTGCTAAAATCATAAATGTGTAACTTTTTAATATGGTGCTCTGGCACCAGACAATTACTTCTTTTCCTGAATTTAAAAAAAAAAAAAGGTTTTCAAAATATACCAAACTGAATTAGTTATTTCAGAAAGGGGAAAATGGACAGACTATCTCAAATCCCAAAGATAACATTGTCTATTATTCCTAAGCCAATTTAACTTTCCAGTAAATAGTACATTCTGAATATTGTTACCTAAATTACATATACTACATCTGAATATAAATCCTGAATGTGGGTTGAGGCAATCCCAAGAACAAATACAGCCTGGGAGCAGAATGGATTGAGAGCAGCACTGCCGAGAAAGACTTGAGGATGTTGGTGGATGAGAATCTAAACATGAGCCAGCAATGTGTGCTCACAGCCCAGAAAGCCAACCATATCCCAGGATGCTTCAAAAGAAGTGTGGCCAGCAGGTCAAGGGAGGTGATTCTGCCCCTCTACTCCACGCTGGGGAGACCCCACCTGGAGTACTGCATCCAGCTCTGGAGTCCCCAACATAAGAAGGAAACGGACCTGCTGGAGTGAGTCCAGAAGATGGCCACAAAGATGATCTGAGGGCTGGAGCACCTCTCCTATGAGGAAAGGTTGAGAGAGTTGGGGTTGTTCAGCCTGGAGAAGGCTCCAAGGAGACCTTATAGCAGCCTTCCAGTACCTAAAAGAGGCTACAGGAAAGATGGGGAGGGACTCTTGATCAGGGAGTGTAGTGATAGGATGAGGGGTAACGGTTTTAAACTGAAAGAGGGGAGATTTAGATTAGGTATTAGGAAGAAATTCTTTACTGTTAGGGCGGTGAGGCACTGGACAGGTTGTCCAGAGAAGCTGTGGCTGCCCCATCCCTGGAGATGTTGAAGGCCAGGCTGGATGGGGCTTTGAGCAACCTGGTCTGGTGGGAGGTGTCCCTGCCCATGATAGGGGGGTTGGAACCAGATGATCTTTAAGGTCCCTTCCAACCTAAACCATTCTATGATTTATTTTTTTGTGTTGTACAGCACTTAGTATAGCTACATATGGATACAGTCAGCATTTTGTCTACTGTCAAATAGCACACTTTTGTTGCTGTATAGAGGTCTGGCACCTTCTTTACTATGATTGACTGCTGCATCTCTAATTCTTTTAATGTATGTAAATTAAGGCAAGCTAGTATCTTGCTGACTTTGCAAAAATAATTCCTAGAGAAAATTTGAAAAATCTTACTCCAGAATACTCAGATCATGGCAGAAACTTTGTTTCTTCTAGAAAAAAAGTCATACAATTCATATAAATTAATGAAAAAACAAAATGAATGAGTGGTAAAACGTTACAACATAAGCAAATTCTGCACTAGTTAGAAGTAAATAAATGCCTTGTTTGAGAGGAATGCCTCTTTAAAAGGTGGTTAAGTAAACACCAGGAAGAAAAATCTCTTAAAACAAAATCTAAATTTTTAAAATACAATCAGAAGTTCACTAAAGTTCATATGCGCTTGCAACACCAAAAATAACTGCATCTCAGCTCATTCTCCAAAGCGAAAAGGACATTCAGAAGCAAACAAATTTTCGTACTTACAAAGGAAAGAATGATAGCTCTTTATTACTTGAAGTTTAATACTGAGAGAAAAATGCAGGAACCCAAGAGTGAATATTCTGATACAGCCAATGCCCCTCAAAAAGTTGGAAAAATAAAGTCCAGAAACTGGAGTGAAATTGCTGTTTGGTCTTTCTATGTAGGTTTTTTTTAGTGCATTTTTCTGGGTGTGAATTTTTTTCAGCCAAGTACCGGTATCAGAAAACTGCAACCAGGTGAATTCAAAGAATCCCTACATGATTATGCAATGAGTTAAACCTCATTCCCACCTCTATCCAATCTCTATACCAAACCACAGGAGACTAGAATCCAAGCCTTTATTTGATGGAAAAAATATTTTGAAGTATCAAGGAAAATATATCCAAAAAGACAATGAAGACAATTTTCACAAAGCTCACAATATATTTTTCAAGGTACTTCAGAAAAAACTCTAAGCTACCGTTTCATAAGCACCTAGTAAGGCACATAATCAGAAATTAAGTAAACACACAGTAATTTAAGTATTAGACATTATAGTGGTACAAAAAAATCTTGAACTTTAATTTTTCTGCCACCAAAGATGACCTTAACAAAAATAACTTCTTAAAAACTTGTCAAACCATCATAGACCTGAATATTTTCCATAAGATTATAAACATTTTGTTCTTGTAAGAAATGTAAAAAAATCTTTGCACTCAGGACTATTTTCTTGTCTTATTTTCTCCAAAGTACTATTATATAATATCACTAAGACATCAAGCTTCCATTCCATGGTTGAGTTAAACTAAGTCTGATACCACATCAAATATCTTTTACTCCACAGAGAGAAGGCACTGCCTTTTCTCTAATAATTTAACTCATATGAACAGCACAGACTTTTTGTTTTGTTTTGTTTTTTTTAAAAAAAATTATTTGTAAATATTTGCCAAAGTATGAACACATACCCTGGTAACATAAATACTATTTAGAGGACACCCACAGTCAGTGCTTGTTCTTCTTCAGGAAACCCAAGCACTATTTCACATTAGTGTTTACTCTGTCTAGAGTAGATTTACCATTTTGTGAGAAATACTCTGTTTGGTATATTGTAAAAGCACTTTAAAATGTTTTGTAAGGCTGATTTAGAACAAAAGCTAAAAGGATGTTCTCAAAATATAATTTTAAGTAGGACATTTCATGATAAATATTGTTACTAAAGCAATTTCACAGAATAATCTTTCTATGGATGAATATTAAACTTTGATCACATACTGGCAGCTAAAATCAGAAAAGATCATCACTTAATTCTTTGTGTATGAGTGAGCTTTTTCTCTTAAGAAACAGATCTGGTCACAACTGTTGCAGTCTCCATTTGAAAATTTTACTTAAGACTGTGATAATGCAGCCTGAAAAGGAAAATTCACAAAAAAGTCAGATTGTACATTTTGAGAAGGAAACTCGGAGGCGATGGTTTTCTCCAAGGTCATAATTGTGAAGCTCAATGAGAGCATGAAGCGCTTCTTCCACACAGCCCAGCTGGATAAGAGCCATTTTGCAATCTTTCCTGAAGTACAATAAAAACCATTATTAATCCTAACTAAATTTTCATTGTGCTAGCCAACATAGAAAATGACACAAGTATTTTTTCAGTCGCACCACACACACTGAACACTTGTACAGAATCAGAACTAGTTATGCACCTGCTAAAATGAGGAGGTAACAAAGCTATACAAGTTTTGAGGATCAATGGCTTACAGCTACGCCACTTTTACTGTATGCTGCACTTCAAAAAATAGGGTCAGAAGGCGGCTTGAAAACCTCTGAGAAACATTTGCATTGTCCATATACATGGGATTATTCTAGCAGTTATGATCATGCTAAAATAATGCTGCCAAGCAACCTTAATGAATGTTAGAGCATGTTCATTGTCATCTTTTACCTGACATTTTACATATACACAGCTTGTACTTCTTTTTAAAGAAGTGCATGTGAACTCATGGAATTTGTCAAAAGGCTGAATATTTTTCATTCAATTTTGCTAACATAGTATTTCATTTAAAATTCAAAGATTAGAATTATCATAAAAATTGTCATAGCTGTACAGCTTTTGCCTACAGATAGATGCATATGGAATTTTGCCTATAGTTACACACACATGGAATTTCCCAAAAAAGCAATTAGCCATCTTCCAGGATGAAAGCTTGCTCAGCATTTTTACAAGAGAACTTACTGGAAGAATCTGAAGGCTTTCACAGTAGATCCTGCTTTTGCAAAAAGGTTCGTCAGATCATGATCAGTAACAGAAGGCCTATTGGGAAAAAAAAACAAACAACCAAAACCAAAACAAAACTCTCTCAACTTGTAAAACAGCAGAGTTCAGTAGTAGCGTCAAAATCTCAATTCTGGCTTCTAAGTTAAATTTGAACAGCAAAAACTATCTCTACCAATTCAAGGCATGTCAACACTTTAGCCCAAACATCTTGGCTTTGACACTAAGATTTAGCACCACAGTGTGCTACAATAATATTTCAGATACACTCTACAGCTTTTCATCCTCCCCCACTCCCCCTTTAGTTAAATTCAGATTGCATAAAAATCACTTAAGATCTTAACCAGTACTTTCAGAAATACCTTTCATCTTGTAATTACTGTGAGTGTGCTTCACATGTTTTCAATTTTGAAAGTTTTCTATTTTACGCAAAAAGCCATTTTCTAAGTGTCTTTTTTTTTTTTTTTTCCTGTTATTTGGACAAAATTCCATCGTCTTCCCTTTTCCCTCCCTGCACAGTTGTCGAACAAAAGCAGCCTGTGAAAACTTATGTTTGGCTGTGACTCTGCACATTGTTCGCAACATTCTAGATAGGAGAAAAGGTTGTTTCAGTTTTAAAGAACATGCTTCTTAATACTTTTTTTTTTAAAAAAAACAACTTCCCCTCTATGTAAGATGTCTGAATTCTGTAGAAACTATTATTTAAAAAGTGTTAGAATTATTAAAAACTGCACCTACATTAAATAACAATACCAATGATGAATTTAATGTAATGTAACTCCAGTATATTACGTCAAAAAACGTGTCTTTGATCTTTGTAAAAATTTATAACACAGGACTTAATATGTGAAAAACAAAAGTATGTTCTCAAGAAAATATAAACTGTATTAAAATTCGTAAAGAAGAGCATTCAATGAGTTATCCTCTTTGCTAACAATAAAAAAGTGACAGTTAAAGGCTTCACTTATTGTTAATTATGCAGCAGAATGAACCGAATTCTCAGGAAACTGTAAAAGGCTAAGGAAATCTAAAACTTATGTCAGACTTTGTAACTTAAGAACATAACCTAAAAAACATCCTTACAAGAAGATCACACATGTAGATACTCACGGGATGTTGGAGAGATGCAGGGTGGCAGACGGAGGAAAGATATTGTGGAAGTTCTTAGAGCCAGGCTTCTTAAAGCGATGTAAAGGGCTATTGCTATAGTCCTTCGTCAGATCATGGTTGTCTTGTCCCGCACGAGGAAGTTGAATTGTCTGATGTTTTGAAAGAGTAGCACAGAGAACCTTTCCATAAAGCCTCTGTCCATTCAAGTAGGTGATAGCTAACCAGTGGAAACATAATTTGAACAGGAATGAAGGGAGGGGAAGAAAAAAAGGATTCTTTGAATAGTAATATTGCCTTCTATTTAGTGTCAGATTCCACATTCTAAATTTAAACTGCAACTTCCATGTCTACCAGGTGGGCTATGTCATAACGTTATATTTAAAACAAGCATAAGGTTTTAATATAACCTCCAGTCTAAATGCAACAAAAATGCAAAGCAGCACTGCAATAAAGAGCAGTTGATTATTCTTAAATAGCTAGATATAGGATAAACTACAGGAAAATTGTATGATGCATTATCAAGCTAAACCACGGGAAAATTGTATGATGTTATCTAATATTTACTAGATTTAGATTCACAGGCTTATTTTTTTTAAACCATTACAGGAAAATAATTTTTTACATGAAAGCAAACAGATCATTATTAACATATACAAGAAAAAATTTGTATGTAGTAAAGTATCACAATGATGGATCTAATTTGTTTATGCTTCTTACTGACAGATGGCAAATTCCTCATCTATATCACACTCACGCTAGTTCGAAGCATAACTGTGCCTTAAAAATCAGTACCTATTTGAGCCTGGACCGCATCTGCCATCTGAACCAAAGCATTTCCTTTTTTCTTAAACATGATCTTCACACGATGCACATCACCATACACACCTGTGAAAATCCAGAAAAGAAATTTGTCCAGAGCCTTACTACGAACAGCACAAGGGCAAGTCTGTTTCTTTTGACTAACATTGGTGGTACAAAGAATAATCACCGCATCAAACAGTTTGGTTAGAATATTAGTATGAAGGAGAGCTTTAAAGTTTGTGTATTATTTTCTGAGGCTCAGAAATAGGGGAAAAAAACCCCAGGACCTTAGTCATAAAACTGCATCTTTATGTTCAGCTTTTAAATAGTCCAACAGTGTCAAAGTCCTCTTAACAGAGGCCTATTAAAATACTAGTATGCCAACAAACATTTTCCTCTGCAACTAGTGTATGTGTCAATTCTGTACTCCTTTTCCTTTGATGCAATCTTTGTTTTTTCATCTTACTTTGCTTTCCCATTCTTTGAAGGAAACAAATTGGATGGCACATTGAAATTCTTCTGACACTGTAACCATTTTGCCTTTTTGGTACCTGTGGCCTACAACTACTGACTCAAATTATTGTAATTTTAAAACCAGCGCATTCTCTGGTGTGTTTTCTGGACAAGGACAGAACAATGGAGCTTGCATTAACCAGTGTGTCAGATAAATAAAAAGAATACTAGCCCTGCACTTTTTCAAGGTGTATTTGACATATCTTACCAAATAGGATGAAAAGTCCGTCTGGTGTGATGACCTGTTTAAATGATAAAATGCGTATATTAGTTTTAAAGCCATGCAAATAAAGAAATCTATTCCGTAAGTACACGGTAAACAAAAAGAATGGAAGAGATACTGCACAGTAATACATAAACATGTCTCTCCAAAAGCCATTCCCTCTTCTTGCTAATATGTATTTGCTATGTACATATAAAATATTCAAACAAGCTAACACTTCAGCTCATGCATTTTCATCACTCAAGACTCAGTCTGTCATGCCACAGAAATTATTAATATTTTAAGTGGCTTAATTATTTGAACTTATTCTTTCCAAACTTATTCGCTCCCTGAAAAATAAGACATTTGCTAAACTAGAAGCAGAAAAGAGCATTCAAGAACCCCTTTGTATTTTCTAAAAAGCAGAAAACACCTACAAAACTAAAACCAGTTGCTTCAAAATGTGTTTTTCATCTTCAATTTTGTCCCCATCTCTGTGTGTGACCATGACACCCTAAGTGATACACATACTATTTAACTGTTTATATATGAAGTGTATAGAAAGTGGTATTTAAATTGTGTTCAATTAGAATCTGTGAATAGAAAGCTAAATATTGAAAGAAATAATTTTTCTTCAATGATTTTTAATTAAATTCTTGTGTACCAAGCTCCTCAAGCCCCAAAGAAGATAATTTACACCCTAATGCAGCCAAATTTTATTCAGGTGAGGCAAAGGTTTTGCCAGTAATGTATTCATTACTAAAAATACCTGGGTATCAGAAGCACTACTCACACTCTCTGGCTCTATTCCTTCTCAACTCACAACATTTCAGATGTGTACCATGCATACCTAAATTATTTAAAAACAGAAGATACTGCAGTCTGAGTCTAAGTCCGTACCCTTTTATCATCAGCATTTAGTAATAACGAACAATTACTATCAATGTAAAATTTAAGTGCTTCTAGAGTTTACCCTTCTGGCCCAAATTTTTTAATTCAACGTAGGGTTTATTTAAATAAATTTCTTAACCAAATGAGACTGCAGTATTTCTACTAAAGAAATTTTTTGGAAGACAAAACCAGCTAACTTAAAAAGTCATGAGAGAATGTTCAAATGCACACTAAAACCCTGTAAGAGGGAAGAAATATAAATTGAAATAAGGTCAGTTGGATTTTCTATACACAGAAAAAGAAACGACAGGGCTCAGACAACCACTACTGAATAACAAGTGTCACACAGGTACCAAGCAATGTATTTACAACAATTTATATTGCAACAATTAATCTTCTTGTACATTCTTATTTTTTACCTTTTAAGAAGTTGAGCATTATTCAATGCATTTATGTTGCATCACGCATTGCAACACAAAGTTCTACATGACAGCTTCTTAGGTATTAGTATTAAGTTAGGCAGCAATGTCCTAAAAATAGCTTTGACCTATGCTTCACATACAGTTATTGTTAAAAACTACACTCTCTTAAGACTCAGAGAATCATTAGCTGCAGAAAGCACATCCACAGCAATCATCAGAAATTAACTGATAAGTTACATTAACAAATCAAAGAAAAATGGACTTGTCTTACAGTCCTAATCTGCAGCTGTTTCTTTTGATGCTTACTGTGGAATTCAGCTATTAGTACAAACATGGAAACACAGCAAGTACTTAAAGATTAAAGGAACTGATCAACAGATTCTTAAGCCTCAATAATATGAAGTTAACTTCCATTTTGCCAGTAACTCCTAATTTTATCAGTTTTATGCTTAAGTGAATCTAATGAGTGTGTAATACAAACAAGAATTTTACATTGCTGTAATAGAACTGCTTACCAACTGTCAAGTAGACTTGTGTTTTAAGTCTTGGTAAAGCTTGATTTTTTATTTTTTTTTTTTTTAAGATATGTACATTGCTTTTAATTAAGCACAGATCAATGTGTAATATTTGAGTAACAGGGGCAAGTTTATAGAGCAGTCTACATCGTTTCCATTATAAAAATAACTATCCAAGTTGTCCTTGGCAATTTTACTGCCAACATACAAAAAAAAAAGTGTATGCTACTATGCAAAGTGAACATGTGTATTTATTAACTTTTAAAAATTGATTTACAATGATGTCAACAGCAAAGTGCGCCTGTGTTCTTCTCCAACCTGGGAAAAGTTGCAAAACTAGAAAGATCCTACCAATGTTTTGAAAGGTACTTGATTTGGCATGCTTTTACCTCCTTTTCTCTTCCCTCCTGTTTCTCTAACTCCTCACATTTTGTAACAAATGAAAAATTATTTGGCTTCTCTAACGATAAAGTAGCACACAGAGGAGTCATATTAACAGAGATACCAGTGAGTTTAGTCATAATATATGTTGTTTACCTCTTCAGACATTTCTCATGTCTGACCATAGATTTTTCTCTAATTACTAGCTACACCACTAACATCGGTTTCCTAAAGTAAATATTGTGTTAGGAAGCTTTTCACTGCAGACTGGAGTTTTTAAACCTCATCAATATTGCAAACTATCTCAAACAAGAATAGAGCTGTCTTGTTTTTTATATTATTAGCATAGATATTTCCTCTCTTACTCCTTGTCAATTTGCAAGAATAATTCTGGCAGTTGGTACGAGTTGATACTAGCATCAGTTCCACCAATAAAACATACTTCAGAGTTGAGGTTGCTGACTAATAAAACAGAATTTACTGGAATACCAGTAACCCCAGGAACAGTCATGTGTCCAGACATTGCAGGTGTGTTGACTGCAACTGCTCCAGGAACACCTGGAACTGAAAGACGTGGAAAGGTATTAATAGCATCACGTGATATCTCAAACTGGAAAAGACATTAAGAAATAAAAGCAGGTTACATTTGGCAAAAATATTAAACCAATATTTGTATATAATAATAAATATGTATTAATAAGTAATTAGTATGTGTTTGTTTATATTAATAAATAATTGTTTAAAAATGCTTTTAAGGAATTTAGTTATTCCTAGTACCTGACCAATAAAGCAGGAAGTACCTCCCCTCCAGAGATTCAGCTACACCAACAGACCCAAACAAAAGGGGACATAAATTGCAGCCCAAAAAAGAATAAAAATAATTTAGCACAAGTTTATCCTGTGCTAGAAAGGAAAAGATCACTGTGTCTAAAAGACTATTTATTTTTAATTTTATAGCCAGAAAAGAGGAGACTTCCCTCATTAGCTTTGAATGTCACTGAAGTCTTATTATTCTTAGAAAAACAGATACTTAGTTTCTTCTCTTGCAGGTAATCTTTATCAAGGCATTTAATTTCTTTACTTATTAAATGATAAACTACATCAGCATATGTTTTTTATTACAGAAAGTAATTTTACTGAATAATATGAGAAAGAGAATCAGAACAACTCAAATGAACATTGTGTTCCAACTGCTGTATTTGAAAACAGTTTGTTCTGAATGCAGGTGTATACAGATAGACCGCTAGCCTCAAATGCAAACACCACATTTTTGGAAAATAGAAACTTACCAGCACCTTGAGGAAAGCCCATGGATGAGGCAAACCCAGCAGCCCCTGCATATGATGGGAAGATGATATTTTGGGTGCCTAGAGAGAGCAGACATATCTAATTAAAACAGATTTTAAAATTTTTAGAAAACAGAAGAGACTGTAGCATTGAGAATCAGTTTCCAGTGTTGCTATTGACTTCAGTCTATGATTACATCTTTTATAAAACATTTGGGTTAAAAACCCTCATTGAAATCCAAGATTCTATGTTTTACCAAGACAGTTTTCAGCCACTTCTGAATGCAAATATTCCCATCCGCCTCAATGTCCCTCTCTAAAATGAAGTCAGGGCAAATGTAATTTAGACAAGTTTGAATAGGAAAACACAGCATAGATTAGTATGCATTAAAATCAAGACACCTGTGGTGCAATGTTCAACAGTTCTTATTCACACAACTGAAATGTATTCTAGAAATTTTCTGGAGGTAAATACACTCAAAGACATTCTGCAATGATGAGATACAACTATTTCCTAGATATTTCTAAAACCAGCATGGGCTAAATAATACAAACAACTGCAATGAATCTGAAGTTCTGAATTTTAGTAGCTATTGAGATGCATAAAGTATATGTATTTTGCTTTTTAAGGAGATGTACTTTCTCAGCTTGTATTATTGCATAAATAGCCAGTGCTTTTTATGGTTCTCCTAGCAATCACAAGGATTGAACAGATTTGGAATATCAATGTATGGAGAGTCCCAGACTGGAAGATACCTCAGTGATTTTTCCATTAGCATGTGGAGTTAAGCGCTACCCGGGGCACCACACAAACATGTTCTAAGAGGAAGTTAGACACAAGCCTGAGTTGTGGTTTCTTCCGTATGTTAGCACACTAGATTTTTTTAAACAGGGCATGTATAATCAGCAAATACATCCTGCAAGCCTGGCAGTATATCTGCTTTAGTACTCAAACCTCCACCATTGACTAAAATAGCTACATTCAATAACATGGTTTTTGGCAGGGATGATACAACACCATAAGTATCTGTTATGAATTACAAAAACAACAAATGAAACAGACACCACAGATCAAGTATTCATGAATACTGCATCACATTACACCTCCTCTTATCTGTAGCAACAAAATGTCTTTCATACAAACAACTGAATTCATTTATCACACGAAAGCAAGTCATTGTGTTCCTGAAATACACGCGCTCGTGCATTATACTGATCAGTTCTGGCAATACAGGTATTAATCACTTATTCACAATCCAAGAATGGTAATGGAAACGTTAATGAAGAAATAGATAAAGCACTTTTATTCTGCAAAATAAGACCTGCATGTTGCACACTGATACCAAAATAAGGCATGTAAAAGCTGTCAAACAGAGCTAATGCAGAGAGATCTGAAATTCTTTGTTGCATTTTTATGTGTAAAATCATTTGCTTCATGGCTAGTAGCTAGCTTTCAAAGCAAGCCTACTCATGTATCTCTGCTTATGCTGGGTGTGGGAACTCTGTAAATGCAAGACATTCACAAAATCTGATTCTTTATAGTGTAGTATGTTTTCCAACAAAAATGAAAGAAAAAAAAAAGAGAAAAAATGCCAAGTTTCAAGAGCAGTTCAGTTTTGCTATTAAGATAACCTCAAGTCTACAGAAAAAACCAGATGTTTTATTCTGATAGTTACCTGCTTTATTTTATAATTCTCCATCGAAACTATGTCCACTAGTAATAACATAGGAAGTGTAAGTACTGACATGACTCCCAACATATTTTCCTCATGTCATGTAACTGAGGACTATCAGAACATGCTTATGGCAACATATGCATGTTGTTACCGCTGATGGAAAGCCTAGAAGCATGCTTCTCCCAGTCTACAGTTATTTTTTTAAAAAAGAAAAATACGCATACAGCTGCTTCACTGTGACTGCACCACAAACTTTGATACAGACATCAGACTCTTCTTTACACCACCACCTCTGCTGTTCTTACTATTACAGTAAATGTTCAGACTGAAAACGAGATTGCTAGCAAAGACAAGCTTAGAAGAGTGAGGGGGAAGAAAATGAAGAAACATTCATGTGTTATCCTCCAAAAGCCTGTAAAAAATGTTAACCCTGCCCTACAAGCAAGCTTGTCCTTAATCTACTCTAACTGTACTTTTGCCTTTCATTGACATTTCAAATTGTGTAAGTACAATTAATCAGAACATATCAGATTTATAACAACACATTTCCATTATGCTGTACAGCAAATCCTGAAAAAAAAAGAGGGTTGTACTATACGTAAGTGTACTGCCTGCCTTTAAGGGGACCAGCAAAATAAATCAAGAAAGTAGCGAGTGCAACTCACTTTCTTCCGCTAATCTAAGCTACCAAAGCCAACTGTCAAAAAAACCCAAACCAAACCCAGTATCAGCCCTAGTTATCACAGAAAACTAAAGGGGAAAAAGAGAATTCTTCCCCAGCCCTTGCTACTGTTCTAACCAACTAGACAGCACTTAGATAGATATTCAACAGCTGAGGGAGTTCTTAGCTGTGTATTATTGCTAATGGGTGTCATAAGAGAGAAAGAAAAATAGCTAAAATTGCTCAAATTGCATTGTGAGCACTTCTGCCAGGTCTTCAGATTAATCTGCTTGGTGATTCACGTTATTAACAAAGTTGATTAAATGAGCATGCCTAAGCTATTTATGCCATAAAGGCTTCTCCAGTGTGGCTTCAAGCAGACACTGTCTCCTCTATGCCTTGGAATTGACTTCTAAAACCCAAGAAAATTTCAAAAATTTTATCTTTTAGAAGGTGACTACAGAACATACGTAAGTGTAGCATTTCTAAGTTTCTTATGGTTTTGTTTGTTATGGCAGACAGTTATCCTAAAATACTAACAAATAAGAGCTAACAGCCTTAGAACAGTTATTTGCAAGCAGCTTTAGGCAACCAGTGTCATGGATTACTGTTCAGAATGCAACAGAATCATAGAATGGTTTAGGTTGGAAAAGGACCTTAAGGATTATCTAGTTCCAACCCCCCTGCCATGGGCAGGGACACCTCCCACCAGACCAGGTTGCTCAAAGCCCCATCCAGCCTGGCCTTGAATGCCTCCAGGGATGGGGCCTCCGCAACTTCCCTGGGCAATTTGTTCCAGTGCCTCACTGCCCTCATAGTGATAAATTTCTTCCTAATGTTTAATTTAAACCTGCCCTCTTCCAGTTTGAAGCCATTCCCCCTCTTGCTATCACTACATGGCCTTGTAGAAAGTCCCTCTCCAACCTTCTTGTAGGCCCTCTTCAGATACTGGAAGGCTGCTGTAAGGTCTCCCTGGAGTCTTCTCCAGGCTAAACCAACGATATAATTTCACAGCATTTTACAAATGTAGCTTTTCGACAACGCTTTGAATTTGCCCAAGAGCATTACTCATGTTATAGTTTCAGATTTTCATTTAGCTTGAGTAGGATTTTCTGCTTTCCATACAAACTTTACTTGACCTAACAGAAACGTATGCAAACTTCAATGAACCTGATACAAAGCCACAGCATAAACACAACATAAAAGGCATAATGATGCTTTTATGCATTTACCATGAAAAGTCAAGGTTTCTTACCATAGGCAGCAAGTACGGATGGTTCCGAGGGTGGGTGTTGATTACCAGAAGGAAGGTCACAGCGAGTAAAATCTCTACTTTTGTCATTGTTGTACCTTATCTTAAGGCTATTTAACTTGGAGAAATCAACACGCAGAGTGCAGCAGCCAGTGTAGACACTTTGACCATCCAGAGACTGAAGAAAAATAATTATGTTTTCCGAAACAAAGCACATAGTGGCAGCCACCACTGTAAGTTTATTTTATTTTCACCTTGCAATTGTATCCACACAGAAATTCATCTTCTGTTTTTAAGGTGCTGCTTTTGAACACCAAGTAGACACTTACACTGCCACTATCCTTACTTAAACAGCTTGTGGAGAGTACTAGTGCAGTCAACTAATTAGTAAGTATTATGTTGCCTTGTGCCAATGAACAAAACATAGCTTTAAGCATGACCTGTCTTTCTAACTGTGCTTCTAATTTTACTTGTCTTGCACTCAACACACAATATCAGATACTAGTAGTGATACTAATTTGGAGATTTTCATTGTACGGAACTGCCCCTTACATAAGCTAGTGAAGAGTCTGGAGCACAAGTCTTATGCAGAGCTGCTGAAGGAACTGGGGTGGTTTAGCCTGAAGAAAAGGAGGCTGAGGGGAGACCTTATCTCTCTCTACAACTACGCGAAAGGAAGTTGTAGCAAGGTGGGCGTCAGTCTCTTTTCCCAGGTTACAGGTGATGGAACAAGAGGAAATGGCTTCAAGTTGTGTGAGGGGAGGTTTAGAAGGATATTAGGAAAAATTTCTTCACCAAAAGGGCTGTCAAGCATTAGATCAGGTTGCCCAGGGAAATGGTTGAGTCACCATCCCTGAAGGTGTTTAATAGATGTGTAGATGTGGCACTTGGAAACATGGTCCAGTGGTGGACTTGGCAGTGCTAAGGTTTACAGTTAGACTCAATGATCTAAAGGGTCTTTTCCAACCTACATGATTCCATAAAATCCATCTTTTTAAGAGCAGCTATGCTCAGAAAGACCACTGAACTAGTATTTTCTGCCTATAACAGTCATAAAGGAATCATGAAGGATGAAGGGGGAAAACCCGCTCAAAAGCTACTGGTTTGCTATAATTATTTAATATAATCTAGACCAAAATGATAATTTCTGTGAAATCATTAATAAGGTATAATTTATTATTAATATCGTTCTTCAAGAAAAGATGCTATTGCTAACAAACAGGCTGTAATCCCAACTGCCTTTACTAATTTCCAATATATACTTAATCTCACTATCTGTTTGATAGTGAATTTACTTACTGGACTAAAGTGCAAGTAGCAATAGATAAATATTCTGTGCCTTTAATTTTGAGGCTGAGAATAAAGTCAACTTCAGTAACAAAAGTAGGGTAGAAGTTTCATTTGCTCTAGTCTTTCCGTAAATTTTTAAAAAACTGAATGCTAAATACCACTTAATACTTAGCAGAATCTATTTTTCTACATACCTTCTATGTGAACATTCAAATTGATTAAATTTATTTACTAAGATTGAGGTGACCACATCGGTTAAAGAGAAATACAAACTGTCTCAGGTATGTGAAATATTTTATTTTCCATCTTTATTTTTTACTTCACAGTTCAAGTATTATAATGTCATGATTTTGAACACTCCTGTCCCTTCAGCAAAAATCTTTGAGGTCTCAGCTATCAATTTCATTATCAAATTACTTCCTACTGAGGACATTAACAATATTTTCTAGAAATTAACATATTTAGCTATTATAAGGAAACTATTTCTAAAAGTTGTTTTAAAAAAAAAATGTACTGGGCTTACAAGGGAAGGTTTTGGTAGTGGGACGGCTGCTACCCCTGTGTGGGAAGAGACATGGGGTTGCCCCATGCTGGACGGAGTGAGTCCCAGCTGGCTCCAAAACAGATCTGCCACTGCCCAAAGTGGAGCCACTCAGAATACTGTGCAACAGTTGGGAGATAGAGTGAGAAAAACGTGAGAGAAACAACCTTGTAGATACCAAGGTCAGAGATGGAAAGGGAGGAGGAAGTGGTCCAGACGCCAGAGCAGATATTCCCCTGGAGAAGATTGTGGTGATGCAGGTTGTCCCCCTGCAAGCCCATGGAGCTCCACAGTGGAACACATATCCACACTGCAGCCCATGGGAAGGACGCATGCTGGAGTAGTTTGTGAACGACTGTATCCCATGGGGACAACCCATGCTGGAGTGGGGGAACAGCGTGAGGAGGAAGGAGTGGCAGAAACAAAATGTCATGGACTGACCACAACCCCCATTCCCCATCCACTCAGGGGGAGGAGGCAGAAGGGTTGGGAGCGAAGCTGAGCCTGGGAAGAAGGAATAAGGGTGCAGGGAAGGTGGTTTTACTTTTATTTTTGTTCCTTCCTGTTCTACTCTACTTTTAATTAGCAATAAATTAAATCAATCTTCTCTAAGTCAAGTCTGTTATGCCTGTGATGGTAATAGGTAAGCAATCTCCCTGTCCTTATCTCAACCCATGTGCTTTTTCATCTTACTTTCTTCCCCTATACTGCTGAGGAAGGGTAGTGAGGCAGCTTAGTGGGTGTCTGGCAGCCAGCCAAGGTTAACCCAGCACAGAAAATATAGCTAAACTAGGTGAGCTTTTCTTTGTTACTGAGAACGTGCATTTTAAAAATCAGCTCATCTGAAATTAAGAAGTTTAAGGTGAAAACATTGATTACCATAAATTTCTCACTGAAATTCAAACAAGTAAAACATGTAACATTCCTCTAATCTCTGGGCGTTTAACTACACTACTCTTACTACAGAACCTCACTGAAAATATTTCACTTAGTTTGAAAGGCAAAAGACTTTTTGGTCAACTGTAGTTGCTATCACTCATCGCTACTGACAGGTCTGATTTTTGTTTTGGTAGATTCATGCAGGTCTTGGGGTGTGTGCATTTATATTTGCAGTTGATGATAGAGTGCTATCCTCTTAACTAATGAGGGATGTCAAAGTTATTAATGTACAACAAAAGCGTTAGAATGCGGAGTAGTTAATGATCAATCCATCCCTAATGTTTCCCATTTGGCTGGGAGGGAGGAGGGAAGGAACCAACTACAACAAAAAAAAAAAAAAAAAAAATCAAGCTGAATACGCTACACTTACCAATTTGGCATAACGTGCATCCATTGGATCAGCATACTGGAGCAAAGCTTGGAACTGATTATTCTTAGTGAAGGTGATAATCTTCAAGACAGATCCAAATTTAGAGAAAATCTGAGAAGGAAAAACATGGACTTTCAGAAACAATTAATAATTAATGCACACTAAAAACTATCATTTAATACTTCATATACATTTCTGAAAATTATTTCTTTTATGAGAGCTGAACAGAAATTGAGGGAACTCAGAATTTTGTTTCAGGTTAAAAAAAAAAATTAGAAGAGAGGCTACAAAAGGTGGGGAAGAATGATAAAATTTCCTTAAAGATTTAGCAATGACTGTTCAACCAAGTGCAGGAAGGGTCAACCCAAACAGGCATTTGTCCAATGCCTGCAGAGAAATTGTGAATAATCAAAGTTGAGGTTTGAGAAATGGACTTTCACATGTCAGTTGACATGGGAACTGCAAATTGCCTTTCAAGGTATCCACCTTTACATTCTGTACTTCAAACAAATTCTGCAAATTTGGTGACCAAAAATACATCTTAAATAGTTGATGTATGTATAAATTAATTATGCAGACCCACTATCCAAACTAGAAGACAAAGAAGGAAAAAATTCAAGATAACAACCTAGTTTGGCACCTAACACTCTAATTTACAATTGAATGGTATTTGATTTATTGCAAATGCAAGCATCGCAGAAAAAAATTAAAAGGTTGGAATTAAACATATATACACTCAAAATGAAAGTGTGCACGACATGAAGGTGTCTATACAAAAATAAAGCTACAAAGAATTAGGACAAAAGTATAGCTATGACACATCGTGCAAGTGCAGAAAAACTATGTCCAAATTAACAGTGGAAGAGGAAAGGTGATTTTGGGGAAGTACTAACAGTTTTAGGACTAACTGTTAGAATCGATGCAAAGTCAGGAAAGCAGAACCCCTCCGACAAGTATTAAGCCTGGAACAGAAGGAAAGTCCAGAGATGAGGACAAGCATCTTTGGCAAGACTATTAGGTCTAGAATCATGGATACAAGACACACTGACCTAACCCTTTGCGCCCACTTTTTCAATCTCTCAGAAATGATGTTTTCATGCTGCCATCATCGTTTTGTGGTAGAAGACAGAAAAGAAACCTTTTTCACAGCAATTTAAAATTAGCCATTGAGTTCCTCTTCATAAAGCCCTTCCACTTAAGAAAGGCCTAAAGACAGCTTCTGAACATATGCTTTTCCATGTTTATTCACAAGAATAAATAGACCTTTTTAAGATAATGAAATTAAACGTGTTCCTGTTTGGTTCTAAACCTAAAGCCCACTGTATGTATCAACTCTGTTTCTGCCCAGACAACACTGAATTTCTGTCTTTTATAATAAATATTTTAAGGTGAATTGTGCTAAAAAAAAAAAAAGTTAGTTTCTTGATAAGCAGTTATAACTTACAGAATACAATTGAAGTTTTGGGTGACAGCTTGCCTACTAGTGTTCCATATGATGCTATACTTACTGGTGAAAATTTTCATTTCCATTAACCATACCACACTTACAAATAATGTTGCACTGTAGCTATCAGGTACAGAGTGCTGCTTTAATTAGAGGAGATCACCCCCTATTAAGAACTCCACATAAGATCCCTTTTCAAATATTGCTTATTTTCTAGACTTATTGCAAAAGTAAGTGAATGAGGATCATTGGGCAATTCAAAGACTGAAAATATAGTTCTGCTGCACTGAAGTATACGTTAATCAAATTAAATTAACATGAATGTCCTCTTCCACTGCCTGCTTAGTTTAAAATAAAAAAAACCAACCAACCAACCTAACAAAAAATCCACACAAGGTTAGATCCAGGAATTGCTGTTGCACTATTAAATTAGCACAGCTCTCATAACCACAGATGCTTGTTCTCAGGTTATTCTGAGTGCACTAATTCTAAACAGTTGACATAGTATCTGCACAAGCTCAATAACAAGTAAACACCACTCAGGTACAAACAAAAGTTTAGATCAGGCAAATTGCTATATCAAAGTGACAACTAGTATACTAACCAGTACCATAGCGGGGAGATACAGAGAAATAGGAAATATTAAAAGCTAAGAGGATAAATAAAGTGGTGGTAACAATCAACTATTGTTTGGGATGCTAGTAGAGCAGCAAAAAGCTTCTTCTCGGACTGCAGGTTCTTGTGAAAACATCCCAATTATTTTAAATCACACTAATTTAAGAAACTCTTATTTGGGGCATGTCTTTTACTGCACAAATTTACTAGTAATTACAAAAGCTTCAAGTATGAAACCCTTTGCAATATCTGAAAAAAGTATCGACAAATCTTTCAGGGACAAAGAAACAGTCTCATAAAATTATTGGGTTTTAATTTATAGTTCTCAACAGCATAGCACAACCACATAGCAGGATTATGGTAATGTCTTTCATAGCTATAGCTACCACTATTCCAGGCTTTCAGTGGTAGTTAAAGTAAAAGGCATTCTAACAGTTGATGAACAATCAAAAACATTTGTCCAAGCAACTATACTTGCATATTACATCACCTGCATCGAATCATAGAAGTGAATATAAAACCCTAAAATATAATGCAAACTACAAAAGTTACTCAGTACAAAGAGTGCAAAAATATTGGTCCACAAGTTCATAACAATCCGTGTTTCACTAGTTCACCATGTGGACATAAATTAGAAGTAACACTTCAAGTTTGTTGCTGCTTCCACAGAAACCAAGGAAGTAAAAAACTATGAAAGACAACACAAAAAACTGACTGCAGAAGTCCTGTTTACTTTTAAATTTTTTTTGTGTAAAACTGATTCAAGCCTAGAGCCCTAAATTGCAACAAATCACTTTAAAGTGACAGTACTCATTCAAATAATTAAGAATCCACAGGTACTTTAAAAAAAAAAAAAATTAATGGATCTATAATGGCAACATTGGAACAGATTTTAACCACTTTTTTTTAAAGCAATCCTCATTACCTGATAGAGCACTTCTAAACTGACAGGGTAGAACAGATTTTCAACAATGATTCGAAGAACAGAACTTTGACCCGGAAGGAGTCGACCTTCAACAGCAAGAGCATTTGCCATACCCATGTTTCCAAGCTGCATAGCATTCACAGCTCGCAACGCAGCTCGGGTTCTCTGAAATCATGACACAGCAGAGACCACAATTAACTTACATACAAACAAATTATTCGTATCTAAACAAAGTTCTCTTACAAAAAAAACCCCAAAACAAGTAAAATGCACTTAAAATGCAACTTTTATAAAACATATTCCCTTTATCTGATTATCGATTGACATCCCACGTTAATAGGTAAATCATACCCCTTCCTTCCCTTCCCCCTCCCCTAAAAAAACAGATCATATTTTCACAGAATTATGACTTTCTTTTATAGTTAAACTGTCGCTACTTTGTAATGCCATACAGGCAAAATTTTGCTTTGATTCAGTAAGCTTTTGTCATTCTAGAGATTTTCTAGCAAATCAATATGATGATAATATTGTAATAAACTAACAACCAGTGTACCAAAATCTATTTTCTGGAGATAAACTGAAAGGTGCACATCCATCTCTTTTTTCTGTGCCAAGTTATCTACCACAAAAAACACCTTTAAATCTCACTCCTCAAACTGCCTCATGGGGACTTGGGAAGTTGCTATGCTTGTTTTTGATGGGCTTTACTCCGGAAGGTCTTCAGACTACCTCTGAGAGCACTATGGAGAGATGTTCCTTACAAAATGTAGTGTTGTGACCTGAAGTCATGTCTCAGTAACACTATTTCCTTGGAAGATGGACTAAACATGGCATACAGTACGGATGTTACCTAGTTTCAGAAACATGTAACCCTGCAAAATAATCTGTACTTCAGGCCTAAGCCTAGACACTAGATCAGTACTGCAGTGTTCAGCTGCTCTGCTAGGGTCTCTAAAATTTAAATAAAACTCAAATATAAGAGTCATAAGTGCAAAAAAAAAAATAAATTTAAAAGTAGACAATGGTGCTTTTATAGAAGGAGAAAGCAAGCATCACGCACTGAGTCAAAAATACTCTGAGAAATGGATACAAGGAGTCTTATTTGCAAATACAAGTATAGTTTTCCTGAGGCTGTTATGTACACCACATCCTTAAAAAAAAAACAACTAGTTCTTTTATTTATTTGTTTTTGCAGATGACAAACCAATCCAGCAATCTCGGATGAGGAAAGAGACAAATAACATTTATCAGACTGACAAACTTGCAAGATTTCAGTGACTTCTGTGTCAGCACAAATTAAAAGTGAGCACTGATTTTTGCCCCAATCACTACTTGCAACATTCTTAGAGAAAACAAAATTGTGATACACACATCACAGAATATAATTTATGCCTCTAAATGGAGGTCAATTGCAATTCATCCAGGAATCCAAAAATCCAAATGAATTTCAACTGCAATATGATGGTTTGCATACTTTGATCTTGCTGTGCAAAGAGTATTGCCTTGTTTAGAGATTAGGATTTAAATCACTCATCTGCAATGTTCAATTCATATTCTTAAGAAGTCAACTTTTAGCACTTAAAAAATACAAGGAAGAAAGTAATTCTGGTGCTTGGCATGAAGTAACACATAAAACTGATGTTTTATCAGTGAAAATATCCATTTTATTTGATCTAGGGTTCTTTATTCTAACAGTCAAAATTAAAAAAAGATAACACGATTAAGAATCAACTTGAACAACCTAAAGATGATGATTTGCTATGCCTGGGTTTGGCAAGGCCTCGGAACAGTGCCAACCATACAAACCTTACAAAAGCAGGTTACATGACCCTTCACAACACCACCCATATCTGATAAAGTAAAAAGTTTCAAGAGAACTACTGTTTGGGCAGAAAGTGGTTCTTCATGTGTCAGCTGGGTTTGCTCTTCTATGTGTTCTTCAGATAGCATCTACAGACCTATGATTAGCAATTAACTTTAAAAAAACACAGACATATAAAACTGAAGTGGTGTCTTTTTGTGGTATTCTTGCTACTATATTATGGACACAGTAACAGGTGGAAAAAACATAGAATCATAGAATGGTTTAGGTTGGAAAGGACCTTGAAGATCATTGAGTTCCACCCCCCCTGCCATGGGCAGGGACACCCCCCACCAGCCCAGGTTGCCCAAGGCCACGTCCAGCCTGGCCTTGAACACCTCCAGGGATGGGGCCTCAACAACCTCTCTGGGCAACCTGTTCCAGTGCCTCACCACCCTTAAAGTGAAAAACTTCTTCCTAATGTTTAATCTAAACCTGCCCTCTTCCAGTTTAAAGCCATTCCCCCTCGTCCTGTCACTACATGCCCTAGTGAAAAGTCCTTCCCCAGCTCTCCTGTAGGCCCCCTTTAGGTACTGGAAGGCCGCAATAAGATCTCCCCGGAGCCTTCTCTTCTCCAGGCTGAACAGCCCCAACTCTCTCAGCTTCTCCTCATAGGAGAGGTGCTCCAGCCCTCGGATCATCCTCGTGGCTCTCCTCTGGACACGCTCCAGCAGGTCCATGTCTGTCTTATGTTGAGGACTCCAGAGCTGGACGCAGTACTCCAGGTGGGGTCTCACGAGAGTGGAGTAGAGGGGCAGAATCACCTCCCTTGACCTGCTGGCCACACTTCTTCTGATGCAGCCCAGGATGCAGTTGGCCTTCTGGGCTGCGATTGCACATTGCTGGCTCACGCTGAGCTTCTCATCAATCAGCACACCCAGGTCCTTCTCCTCAGGGCTGCTCTCCAGCCATACCCCACAGGACAACATCAGTACTAATTATTCAGACAAAATATTTACTGGAGAAGACATGATATTTTCTTCATATTCTGAAGCTATTGAGAGCTGTCACCTAACGCTAAAACTTAGGAATGGCAAAAGTTCCTTTGAAACATATTGTAAGCAAGTATTTCTAAGTAGTGTAGAATATAGTAGCAGGGTCATATACTCCAGGCTGCTTAGGCCTCTTTCCAGTCAGGTTTTTCATGTATCTGAGGATGAAGACTCCACAACCTCTCAGAGTAACCCATTCCAATGTTTGACCGCTCTCACAGTAAAAAAGTTTTTTCTTAAGTTTAAGTGGATTTTTCTGTATTTGAATTTAAGCCCATTGCCTCATGTCCTGTCACTGGACACCACTGAAAAGACTCTGTGTCCACCTTCTTTACTCCCCCCGACAACATATTTGCAGACATTGGTAAGTCACCCCCAAGCCTTCTCTTCTTCAGGTTGAACAGTTCCGGCTCTCTCTGGCTCTCCTTGTATGACAGATACTCCAATTCCTTAATCATCTTCATGGCCTTTTGCTGGATTTGCTCCACTATGTCCATGACTCTCCTGTACTGAGGCGCCCAGGACTGGGCAGAGCATTCCAGATGTGTCTCATCAGTGTTGAGTAGAGGGGAAGGTCACCTCCTTCAACCTGCCAGCAACCGTCTGCCTTCTGCAGCCCAGGAAGTTACTGGCCTTATTTGCTGCAAGGGCATGTGTACTACCCACCAGGACTCTCAGGTCCTTCTCTGCCAAGCTGCTTTCCAGCTGGTTGGCCCCAGTGTACAATGGTACCTGGGGTTGCTCCTCCTCAGGTGCAAGAGCTGGCATTTCTCTTTGTTGAACTTAATGAGGTTCCTCCTGTCAGTCCATTTCTCCAGCTTTTCAAGATCCCTCTGAATGGCAGCACAACCATCTGGGGTGTCAGCTACTCTCAGTTCTGTGTTGACAGCAAACTTGCTGAGGATGTTCCCCATCCCCTCATCCAGGACATTAATGAAGATGTTAAACAGCATTGGATACAGTATCAACGCCTAGAGTACTCCAATAGTGACGGGTCCCCAGCAGGACTTCATGCCACTGGTCTCAACCATTTTAGCCTCTCAGATCACTTCACAGTCTACTTATCTAGACTGTATTTAATCAGTTTGTCTACTGGGATGTTATGGGAAACAATGTTGAAAGTCTTACCAAAGGCAAGATAAACACTATTCACTGCTCTTCTCTCATCCACCAAACCAGTCATGTCACTGTAGAAGGCTATCCCATTGGTCAGGCATTACTTCCTTTTCAAAAACCCATGCTGACTTTTCCCAACCACCTTCTTGTCCTTAGAATGTTTGGAAATGGTTTCCAGGATTAGTTGTTCCATTACCCTCCCAGGGACCAACGTAAGGCTGATCAGCCAGCGGTTCCCTGGATCCTCCTTTTTGTTCTTTAAGATAGGAGAGAGATTTTCTTTCTTCTAGTCCTCAGGAACCTCCTCCAATTGCATGACCTTTCCAAGACTGTAAGAATGCCCTTGCAATGACATCAGCCAGCTCCCTCAGCACTCACAAGTGCATCTCATTACAACCACAGACTTTTGTTTATACAGCTTGTTTAAATGTTTCCTAATGAGATTCTTCTCTACTTCCTTCATGAAGACATTCCCAGTGTTGCTTGATATTCACAAGGGCAAGTCTTAAACACTAAAGATTGAGGAGAAGGCATGCAATACTTCAGCCTTTTCCATTTCCTTTGTCACCAGGGCCCCTGCTCCATTCAGCAGAAAGCCCACATGTTCCCTAAATCTTCCTCCTACTGCTGATAAACTTTGAGGAGCCATTCTTGTTGCTGTTCACATCTCTCACCAGAGCCAACTCCATTGACTTTCCTAACCACATCCCTGCATGTTCAGATAATGCTCCATATTCCTCCTGGGTCACCTGTCTGTGATTCTACCTTTTGTATGCCTCTTTTTTACATTTGAGCTCAGTCAGGTGCTCCTTGCTACCTTTACTTGATTTCCTGCTCATCAGAATGAGCCATTCTTGAGCTTGAGCTCCTCCACAATTATTTCACAGATACTGAGAAGTCCCTGTCTGAAAGAAGTTACTGCTTAGATAACAACTAACAGAAATATTATCTATCAGAATTTGACTATTGGTGTAGTGGAAAGTAGTCTGTTTATTTATCAGTGTTGTGGTTTAACCCTGGTAGGCAGCTAACGTACCTGCTTGGCCACTTCCCCCAGCAGGATGGGGGAAAGAATTGGAACGGTAAAAGTGAGAAAACACATGGGGTGAGATACAGACAGTTTAATAGGTAAAGCAAAAGCTGCACGTGCAAGAAAGGCAAAATAAGGAATTCCTTTACTACTTGCCATTGGCAGGCAGATGTTTAGCCATTTCCAGGAAAGTAAGGGCTTCATCATGCATAGCAGTTACTTGGGAAGAAAAATGCTGTAACTCCGAACATCCCAACTTCCTCCTCCTTCCCCCAGCTTTCATTGCTGAGCACAACATCATATGGTGGGGGATATCCCTTTGATCAGTTGGGGTCAGCTGTCCCAGCTGTGCCCCCTCCCAACTTCTTGTGCATTCACACTGGCAGGACAGTGCAAGAAGCAGAAAAGCAACGCTATAAAGGTGTCACAAGCTACTATGAAGAAAGTTAAATTTATCCTATCCAAACCCAGTACACAACTCATATGCAATTCTGTCCTGTTAAATGGAAATATTATACTTACAGCCTGATTAGGTAGATTGTCAGTCTTAAGTTCTCTGTGATTGGAATACTGAATATAAACAGGCTGACGGTGGAGGTAAGGTGTAGCAGGAGTATAGTAGTTCATCATACTAACAGCAGCTTCTTCAGAAGCCATTTCCAAAAATGCCTGCAACCAACACATAGCAGTTTTTAGTGTTGTTTTGTTTACAGGAGAGAACAAAGCAACAAAGCACCATTTATTCCAAATTCCACTTTCACTAGAAAAAGATCATGTGAAAGTACAGTTCTGATTTGCTCAGGATTAAAATGCATTCATGTGTGCCTGTTTATGGGGACATTTCATTTGATATGTGGGTCTTCTTAAAAGGTTTTACATTGTAAGTACAGCAAGTCTTTAAATAAAAGGTGAAATAAGTACCAAATATGGGAAGCAATGGGGCTAAAGACACCACACTGCTAGTTAATTTATTAGATTCCTGAATCTAAGCACTACTACCTAGGTAGCAGATACACATACTGATTGAAAAAGTAGAAACAGGACACTGAACGTCTATCACTTTGTGCATTATATTAACCCAGCTCAGTGCTCTAGACAATTTTTGAATGAATGCCAATTATTTTTACAATTTCAGTGTTTATTTATGATGTGAACTACCCTATCACATCTGAAAGGATTAAAAAAAAAAAACCAAAACCCTAAGCAATTTATTTTACATTAAAAATCAGGCAGGTTATTTCAAGACATACACCGACGTCAATAGTGACAATATAGTTCTTTATCATCTATATATTCTTACATAAGGTGGATATAATGTTTAGTAGTATTACTAACAAGTTACTAGATCATTATTTAAACCAAAAGTATATTAAAAACTTAAAATAAATATCAAGACATCCTTTCACATTTGAAAATATTAAAATCTTGAGCTATCAATGAAATATTTAGGCATTGTTAAAATCATTTCAGCCAAATGCAATACCAAAATGGTCATAACATGAACCACATCGTCAGCCTTGCTCTTATAATTGAAACATTGAAAATTACATACCTGTCTTTTTCCTTTTAGCATCAAGAGGTTGGTTACTTTGCCAAAAGGGAGGCCTAACGAAATGACTTCTGCTTCAGTAACGTCATTTGGAATGTGACAAATATGAAGGACACGTGAAGGAGAACATGGCAATCTGTCTCCTTTCAATTTCTTCTTTTCATTCTCCTGATCTAAAATATTTTAGGGAGGGGGATGTAAAAGCAAACAAGACAAACATTGCACAGTATAGATATCAAAACCTAAAAGAGATAAACTGCTGACTCGGCACTGACATTGACTTATCTATAGCTCTTTGAATCCTAAGAAAGGACAGTTGATATATAACTAAAGAACAGTTTAAGAAGACCTCTTCAGCTGTTCCAGCTGTTCCAAAACTTCACTGCAAGACATATGTGTAGTGTGTTTGTTTTGCTTTGGTTTGCGTTTATTTTCTTGTGTTTTGCCTTTTTTTTTTTTTTTTTTTTTTTTTAAGTCTTATACACACAGACGCCAATAACTTCTTCCCAAATGCCCATGTAACATATTTACAAAATGTTAATTACACAGAAGAGAGGCAATTAGTAATTGGGAGGTAATATATTCATTTTTTTTATTACTAACTTAACATCCTGCATGGTATGTTTCTTAATTAGATTCAGTTTTTACCTCATTTTTTTTTTTCTTGATTTTATTAAAGAAAGCCTGCTGTCCTACATGATTGTAAGTTTTAAAAAGTCTTTGAAAAGGACAGACAGCAGTGCAGCAGGAAATCCGTACAAATCCTAAAGTCTTCCACTTTGGCAAACAATATTTTTTTTTTTTTTTTTTTT